AGAGCAGGATAGAAACAAGGACATTCGAGCCAATGAGTCCACAACAAACAGTCTCTGTGGCCACTTCCTTAAGAGTTGTTCCAACATGACATAAAAGTAGAAACCTAATTCTCCGTGTTTACAACTGTAACTTGTTCACTACATAAAAGCATTAGACCTCAGGACACACGTTCATAACCGTTGGATTAAATATTTAACAGAAATAATGTACCCCCAAGCTAATTGTATGAATTGTTCCTGTACTTTACACATTTAAGATCAATGATAAATAAATCACTCTGTACTGTTTTAGTAGTAATATGGAATCCAGTAAATATGACATAAAAGCACCAGAGAACACTTAAGAAAACATGAAGATAATTGAACCCACCTATAAGAGTCAAATGTAAAAAATCTACTGTGAAATGTATATTTCAGATTTTATTCATAATGTTTTATTAACCTTAGCTTGATTCACTACCATATCAAATAAAATCTTTAAAGAATCAGAGTTCTAATAAGTTTTCTCCTCACTTTTTTTCTTTTCTTTTTTTCTTTTTTTGTTCCTGCAATTACATTCTGAAAGATGAACTGAGTGATTGATTTATAAAACTCCTGAAAAGAATAAAATAAAGAAAAAGAAACCTAGCTCACACCAAGGAAACAATATTGGGAAAGTAATTTGTTCTCACATACAACAAATGCTTTGCTGTTTTATTTGGAATATGAGATGAAGTTTTCAAAAGCAGCAGCCAAAAGATGTGAATACATTTCCCAATCACTTCACACCAATGGAATAAAGTAGTGGAAATAAAACAGTAACTGTAAAAGGATCTAACTTAAGAGTACTATGATCTAATTCCACCTGTAAATAGAGTAACAAGAGTACTGACTTGTACATTGGTCTTAAAAAGTATATTTTGTAACTCACACGAGAGGAAATACGAAGGATGTCAGGATTTGGCAAAAGACTAATGTTCTAACCTAATTCAACAAACTATGTTCTCGTCTAACTTAACTGAACTAAATCACTTCACTTTCAGGAAGGGAACCCTTCTATAGAACACATTAGTACAAGGGCAAAATCAATTGAGCTACTACTGTCACAGTATGAGGTGAATGGGTTTGTGTGCCTGTTAGCATAATCTACACAACTGACAAAATCACATACAAATATTTCTGAAATATAGTTGACTTCTGCAATTTGACATTTCCTGTTACAATATATCATAAGTGAGAGTAGATGTCATTTTTCAACTGACAAGATCGTCATTGTTTCTAGTTTCTGTTGTCTTACATCCCTTTGATAAGAAAGATATTCCCTTAGATATAAAATCATGTACACATCGTATCATGTTTGCAGAGATCCACTTTCACACACATAAAAAGTGAAAACCACAAGTGTCCCCAACTAATCAGACTGAATCTTTTCCCAGGAAACCATGACATCAAGAGCTGTTATTAACTGGAACATTCAGAAGAATACTTGGATATTTACCTTCATTTTTTTAAAAGTTGTAAGAGTTCATCATGGTGTCAAAGATCAAAGATCCATCCATTTAGCTGGGGTTGACAACCTCACGCACACACTACACTGTTCCCTGTACTCTCGCTATACCACAAGTCTCCTCATTTTCTACTGGCTAGTGCATTGGCTAACCAATCCATTGACTGATCTAGCCCTTCTCCCTTAATGGCAGAGGTCTTGAATATCTGGAAGGTTCGTGTCTTGAGAGCATCGAGACCAAGGGCTGAGTGAACCTCAGCAACTGTCATAGCTCCTTCCATGTCCTGCTTGTTGGCTAACACCACTAAGATTGCTGATTTCAATTCTTCTTCCTGTGTTTTAAAGAATATATATATTAATTTAAATAGATTTATATCATATATATTCATATATTAATTCTTAAGAGGAAATAAGCATAAATATAGCTGTAAATTAAATACTTATATTTAGCAATTATAAATTTTATGAGGACTTTCAGTTTTGGTTTTCTGTAGGTTTTGCTGCCTGCTGAAGTACATCTCAGCTCCCATGCAACAACACCTGTGATATCTGCTCACTACAGGCATTCCACCAACCATTTTTTACACATGCAAAACTCACTTATCCAAATGGCTAGTCACCTGCTGCCTTAGAAGGGGAAGTGCAAACTGTGCTGTTTGCATTGTCACATTATTCATACCACTATAGTCAGAGCCATTTCACAAAATGCATGGTCTCCTCAAGTACTCTAAAAATAGAAGTTACTAGCTATGCAGAAATGGATAGTGCAAATTGTCCTATTTGCACCACAAGTTTTATCTGGACTATTAAAGTTACCACCACTTTGCCTGCTCTAAGCTTTGAAACTAGGACTGCAGTGTTGAATTGTTCTATCATTACATGTATATTGCTTATAAAATACTGAACCTTTATCTTGTGCAACTTGATCCAATGTCGTTGGGAACGTTTGCTGTAGTACTGTTTTGTGAAATGCCTCTACATGCTTTCACTTTTCTGACATTTGTGGATTATCTTATATTGCTATCAATACCAATGCTGTTATTATGAGTATAGACATTAAAATTATTATTAAGTTACTAATATTACAAATAGCAATACAATGATACTGCAAAAATTCCAACAATTCACTTATATGAGGATATGCTAATATTGAAATGTGTTAGGATCCCCAACTGTTAACTATGCCAATTTTCATGAGCTGGCAGCCCTGAGCAAACATCATTTGACATAATAGACCTAGTCAATTTAGTGTTTTAGAAGCAAGACCATTTGTGCATACACCTGAAAGATACATTCATGTGATTGCACACATTCAGTTGATAGCCTAAAAGCCTCCAAATTCAAAATAATGTTAGCACCTTTTATTCTAAAGTGACTCCATAGACTTCTGTTTTGCCTAAAGAACTGTCAGTTACACAAACAAATTTAAGACAGAATAAACCAAAATTTGAACATAAATGTTGATTTCATGGAACCTGTTAGTGCCCAATATATTCATGATATCAACACTGGGTATGTTTCCCATGCTAAAGAAAATCCCAACACTATTATGGCCATGTAGACTCCCACCACAACTCAGAATAACAATCTTGTCATAGGTAAGCGGCACTGGTAAGTCATAAATCCTAGGATACAAGTAAGGATTTCTGAACTAGCTGATTACAAAAGTGACTTTCTGAAGCCAAGAAATACATACACATTTATTATTGAATCCTAATATTTATTTCCCTTGAGTATTAGGATCTTCTGATATACAGCCCTGAAATTGGGTGAATCTAGGGAGAAATTTGGAATTTTGTACATGATGTAACACACTTAATCAAATCTCCATAGTAAGAAAAAAAAACACAAAATCCTGATATCATGATAACCCAGTAAAAAATTATTTGCTCCTAAACCTTACTTGTGACTTCATCCTTCCCTTATCAAATATATCCATTGTACAGGTTCTAGAAATTGTTAACCTTTACTGTCATTTACTGTTATTCATAGTTAATGGTTAACCCACTGGTGCCGGGGAAAATTAACAAAAAATGGGGAATATGCTATGCCCACTTTCTATGTTTTTCGTGAAATGTCTGCTGATAGATGGCTCTGCTAGCGCCTGATTTGATATGGCGGGAAAAACGTATTTTTCATAATGCTATGAAAATCGATGGTGTTATTTTTATCATAAACATTAAAATTTTTATAATGTTCTTTTACATTAGTAACAGCAAAATAAGATAATGTAAAATATTTCATAAATCAAAGAAACAGGTAAACAGGCGAGACGAGCGGTACTCGTAGTTGGCTCATTGGTGATTTAGTACAAGTGTTGCCATCTATGCGTAAAAACAATCAAACATGTACTCACGGTGGGCATAGCACGTACGTACACGTCATACCCGGCACCAATGGGTTAATGGTTCCAAAGCAAAATAATAAGAAAAGTATAGTAGTGAAATGGGTAATGAGGGGGGTTGATAACTCAATGTGCTACATGTACCAAGTAGTACAGTAGTTTAGGATAGTATTGAGAGGTTAAGGACGATCACATCATAAAACAGTTTTAGGAGAAATGTCAGGAGGAGAAGGATCTAAGGAAGGATATTGTTGTGACAGAAGGGAAGTGCGAGACGAGCGGTACTCGTAGTTGGCTCATTGGTGATTTAGTACAAGTGTTGCCTTCTACATGTAAAAACAATCAAACAAGTAACTCACAGTGGGCATAGCATGTACGTACACATCATACCCATCAGCATTGGATTAATAATACATTACTGTATACTGTCAAGTTACTTTTCTCTTTCAGTATGTGGCAAATTGTTCACAGAAAAAAAGAAGAAAGAAATAGACGAACATTTTGCATATAATCTAAAAAAAAAAAAAAAAAAAATCAGAAAATGCTAACTCTATGCAAATGCAAAACAATCACAGAGCATTCTGGTGACTTTTTAATCATATTCCTTCATAATCACTAATCACTAATCACTAATCACTAATCACTAATCACTAATCACTAATCACTAATCACTAATCACTAATCACTAATCACTAATCACTAATCACTAATCACTAATCACTAATCACTAATCACTAATCACTAATCACTAATCACTAATCACTAATCAGGGGAGGATATGTTGTGACAGAAGGGAGTCACGAGGGACTGGATCAGGTTGCAAAAGAAAGAACTGATTGCTGTGCTATCTGTACGGCCTCACAGAAAGTGAAGCCAAGTTTGAATCTAAGGAATGCTTCCTTAACCCATTGCCGCTGGGGAAAATGAACAAAAAATGGAGAAAATGCTGTACTCATTTTTTATATTTTTGTGAAATATCTCTGTACATAGATAGCTCTGCTAGTCCTGACTTCACCTTTACTTGAATTGGGGGGAAAAAACGTATTCTTACTAGCGCTATAAATATAGATGGTGTTATTTCTAACAGCAAATTAGGATAACGTTAACCCATTCGCGCCAGGCGTCACGTATACGTGACAGGCTCACTGTGAGTTTACTTGTTTAATTGTTTTCCCACATAGATGGCTACACTTGTACTTGTACTGCCTGTCTCGCCTGTTTACCCTTTTCTTTAATTTACAAAATTATTTTGCGTTATCTTATTTTGTTGTTACTAATGTTTATAACATTATAGTAATTATAATGTTTATAATAAAAATAACCATCGATATTCGTAATACTATTAAAAATACATTTTCCCGCCAATTCAAGTAAAGGTAAAATCAGGTAAGGCAGAGCCATCTAGTGTAGAGAAATTTCATAAAAAATGAGCACAGCATTTTCCCCATTTTTTGTTCATTTTTACCCGGCGTGAATGGGTTAAATATTTCCGTAAATAGATGAAAATGGTGAAAGGGTGAGACATGCAGTACTAGTAATTGGCTTACTGCTGACATGTGTAGCCATCTATGTGTAAAACAATCGAACAAGTCGATTCACAGTGGGCATGGCATGTACGTACATGCCATCCCCAGTGGCAATGGGTTAAACTTGTAGGTAGGGCAGACCCTATAAGATATGTGATGGGAACCACCACAACTAGCAATGTTTCCAAAAAGTAGTTCAAACAATCATGCCCAGGTTGGGCACATAGAGGGTAGCAGGCTGTGGAGCAACAATGTTTAGCAGGATGGCTAAAAAAAACAATATTTCTGACACTGACGGGAGAGGGGTCGATATTCTGGATCAGGTCAGGGCTTAATGCCAATATAAACTTTACAGAGGCCATGACCATGGAAGGTAATCTTGGCAATATTGGTATAGGATTTTCAGCAGTCTCTGAAGGGAATAAAGTAGCACTGTACTGATACTGCGTCATCATCAATGAGGCAGGCAGGAATAGGTGTGCCTTTCAGGTCACTCTGACAAGAAGTGAACAATCAGGACTTCACCTACTTACTTATACATATACATGCATATACATATATACACATACACATATATATAAACATACATATACATGTGTACATATATATACATACAAATACTTCATATATACATATATATATATATATATATATATATATATATATATATATATATATATATATATATATATATATATATATACATATATGAACACGTACACACATGTATATATTATATGTATACATATATATACAAATACATATATACACATGTATTTACAAATACATATATATATACATATGAAAATAAATATATATGCATATATAAATATATATATACATACATATACAAATATACACATACATATATACACATGTATTTACAAATACATATATATATATATATATATATATATATATATATATATATATATATATATATATATATATATATATATATATATATATATATATATATATATTGTATATATATATATTGTATATATATTGTATATATATATATTGTATATATATATATTGTATATATATATATTGTATATATATATATTGTATATATATATATTGTATATATATATATATTGTATATATATATATTGTATATATATATATTGTATATATATATATTGTATATATATATTGTATATATATATATTGTATATATATATATATATATATATATATATATATATATATATATATATATATATATATATATATATATATATATATATATATATATATATACATATATATATATATATATATATATATATATATATATATATATATATATATATATATATATATATATATATATATTGTATATATATATATATATATATATATATATATATTGTATATATATATATATATTGTATATATATATATATATTGTATATATATATATATATTGTATATATATATATATTGTATATATATATATATATTGTATATATATATATATATTGTATATATATATATATATTGTATATATATATATATATATTGTATATATATATATATATTGTATATATATATATATTGTATATATATATATATATATATTATATATATATATATATATATATTGTATATATATATATATATTGTATATATATATATATATTGTATATATATATATATATATATTGTATATATATATATATATATATATATATATATATATATATATATATATATATATATATATATATATATATATATATATATATATATATTGTATATATATATATATTGTATATATATATATATTGTATATATATATATATATATTGTATATATATATATATATATATATATATATATATATATATATATATATATATATATATATATATATATATATATATATATGTGTGTGTGTATACGTATGTATGTATGTATGTACATATACACATATACACATATACACATATATACATATATACATATCTATATATATACATATACACATATACACATATCTATATATATACATATACACATATATACATATACATATACATATACATATATATACATATACATAATACTTTAGTGCATACTACATTTTCCTGGCGACATTGGGTGAATGGTATCTCTTGCAAGAATACACTCCTACAGGTGCTCACACCAAGCATGGCTGGTCAACCATTTCCACCAACATAGACTGTGTGTGGACCAGTTAAGGTCAACACTACTGCTTCCATGTTTTCCCTAAAACAATGGTGATACCATAAGTCACTTTGGAATTATGTTTATATTTTGCTGAACTGTTACTTTAGCCCTGTAACATTACGCTTACAGAAAGCCAAAACCCACTGTATCCAGGTGACATGGACATCTTGTAATGAAAAGGGGAATGTGACAGGAACTTCCCATCAAGAGAAATTGTTACAGAGTGTTGGGTGGTGGGGATTTCTCATCATGAGTGCACAAAGTACTTAAAGTGAGACTGACACAGTGAGGTCTTCAGGAAGGGGTTCGTTCAATTGCTCTTTCTAATGGTCCACATGGAGAGGGTTGGCAACAGTAACAGTTGGCAAGAACCTATTCCTGTCAACTGAAGTGTAGTACGGAAAATTAAATAATAATATGAATACACAATAACAATATAATTTTTTGTTACTGTTGTTACACAGAATGCAAACAACCTGGAGATATAATATGGAGTCGGTTCATTGAAAATACTGTGTCATCATTTTGATACAGTATAGGAAAAATGCATTTCCAGAAAAAAGCTAACAGCACTATAAAGAGGGCAAAGAGTTTTGACACTGCATGTGAGTGTAAGTGTGGGCCCAGCCCACAAACCACACTTGGGAGAGTCACCACTTTGGGAACCTTAATGCCAGATTTTTGCCATTCAGTTCCAATGGGATTAGGAAGTGCTAATGAATTTGGACCCTGGCTTGCAGGAACTGGATGCCAGCCCCTAGGAAGAAAGCTAGTAGACTGTGAAACAATGCCAGGAGTAAATTTAGGAGGTTTTCAATCCAGTCACCACTGATGGCCATGAAGAATTTTTTTTTTGTGACTTAACTCCTGTAACTGTAATCCAATTCTTTCAACCTGAATCCCTGTTTCCTGCTTTTTTTTCTATAGTATTGTTTTTAAAAAGATCTATGGAGATTGTTACCTTCATTCTAAACTATCGGGGACTTATGCTTACTCCATAATGGCCAGAAAAAAATAATAACAATAGGTTAACATTTTCTTACAGACTACTTACCTTGCACTGCTTTACTCAACATTCACTAAGCTAATAAAAATATTGGTTCCAAAATTAAGAAAATGAATAATGATTATTAAAAGTGCTTCAGAATCCTTTATACCTCACTTACCTCTAACATAGACACAAGCTCCTGCTTTGAGATACCTATTCTATCTCTGTCTGCTGAATCAACAACATAAATGATGGCATCTGTATTTGAATAGTAGCATCTCCAATATGGTCTGGAAAAGAATTTCTAAAATTAAAATAATTCAAACTCATTATCAAATTACATTACAAAACTATCTAATGCATACTATTGGTAATTAATTGATCAAGAATGCAAGATAACCATTTTAAAATATCAAGTCACCATTAAGCAGTTAATTAGATTTATAACAGAGTACAATAATTGATCTAGAGTATTTTCTATCTTGACCCATGATTAAATTGAAAGTTTCTACTGTTTCCATTTTTTAAAATCTTATATCTAAATCTAACTTTTTTCCTCAATATAACAATATATACATAAACTGTTTTCCTTTATTATCATATACCTCAACTTCTTACCTGATACTTGTCTGTCCTCCTAAGTCCCACACTTGGAATCTCAAGTTCTTGTAAGTTACTTGCTCTACATTAAACCCAATGGTGGGAATTGTGGTCACAACTTCGCCCACTTGCAAACGGTACAAAATCGTGGTCTTGCCAGCTCCATCCAATCCAAGAATGAGAATGCGCATCTCTCGAGAGCCAATCAGGCTTCGAAAGTAACTGAGGAGGGCCCCTGTTGAGACATTCACTTATCACCATTGTTATCATAAAGAAATCCTTACATGGAAAACTTGTTTAACTTATTATTTTTGGACTAAAGTACTTAACTAATGAATATATCCCTAGCTTAATATCTTAATATCATGCAAGTACTATATCATGCATCTTACAGGATACTGTAATGCACCTGTGTTGAGTAGTACTCCATGGTAGCATTTCTGAAAGAATGTTAAAAATATATTTGCCAAAATGGTATAAAGGAAATGAGAGTTAATATTGGACACCGTGGATGTTTATGTTGATGGATATTAGATGGGAGATAACTCTATGTATATCAACCCATTGGATCCAGGTGTTAATCTGGTTTAGGGCGTGTAACTGGAATATGCCATCATGAAAATAATTGCCTGAAAGTTTGGGTGACAGGAACATGTCATTATTAGATATTATTCCCTTGTGGCAAGTGACAGGACATCTTGCCATGAATGCACAAAGCTCTTGGAGGAAATTTTGACTCAGTGAGTATTTAGGAAAGGGCTCTTGCATTATCTCCACCAGTAAACAAGGGTGGAGTGTACCATCCAAGAGCCATGTCCAGGAGAGCACCAGTACAAGGGAGCTTAGTCTCTGGTGAGTGTGTCCATACTGTACAGAATTATCCTCTCAATGGTTAATGGTTAATGGTTACAAAGCAAAATATATGTGCTAGACATCAAAGATCATATAGCAATAGAGAAAATAGAGAAAAGGGTAAAGGGGGTTACTTGATGGTTATATGTGCTACACATCAGAAGTTGTATAGCAGTTCAGGAAGGTAGGGAAAGGGTGATTTGATAAGTGAGAATGTGAGGAGGGAGAGAATCTAGGAAAGGCAGTTGCTGTGACAAAGGGTCACATTCAGGGGGAAGCAGGAGGGATAGTGGGTTAGGAGGGAGGGGATGATGCAGTTGAATTAGGGGGAATGGAATGTGCTGAGAGATAGTGGGAAAAAGGGGTGTAGGGGAAACATGAGTAGGAGGAGGATGGATGTCAGCAGTTACTTTGAGTGTAGAAGGAATGGGATTAGGAAGATTGGATGAGATTAAGGTTTAGGCATGCTATCTTGGGTCAAGATTAGATAGTTTTGAATGTCTCCAAGAGTTTCTGCAGTGGAGTTGGTTAGGAAGGTCTGAAAAACAAAGATTTTCTTATGGGGGGAGAAGAAGGGACAGATGTTGAGGGGTGGAGGGAGAGGTCAGTGGAGAGGATGGGACAGAAGATATGAAGGAACGTTTAGTTTGTCTTGTGCGATGAACTGAGTGAAGAGGAAGAGGGTTGGGTACCGGGGAAGTAGTGATTGGAGTATCTGGAATAGTGGAGGAGATTGGGGTCTGGATTTAGAATAGTAAAAGAATTTGACTGGGAGATAGAGGGGGTAGAAGTGGGATGAGGAAGAGATGTAGAAACAGTTTGGGAGGAAAGGGGAGAGGTAGATTATTAGAGTAGGGAGTCAGAGAAAAGATTCTTTTTGTCTGGCTTCATGTAGAGTGGGGCCAAGTCTGAATCTGAGAGTTACCAGACTCAAACTTCGAGGTAGGGCAGCCCCTATAAAATACATTATGAGAGCTACCACAATTGGTGCATGTGGATGACTGTGCAGAACAGTTTAATTAATTATGACTAGATTGGGCACATTAAGGGCATCAGGCTGTGGAATAGCAGCATTTGGCAGGATGGTCTAGACAACAAAAATTTTGACATTGGGGGAAGTTGATATGGTCGGACAGGGAGGGAGTCTCCGCTAATGTAAACATTAAGGAGGAGGTCAAATCTATGGAAAGTAATCTTGGCAATATTGTTGGGGGGACTTATAATGGCCTCTAGGGAGAATGGTGTACTTTTGTACTGATATTGCTTCATAGTCAATGAGGCAGGCGAGTAAGTCTTCTTCACAATCTGACCAATTTCTGATGTAGAGGCAGTAGGGCAGTTTGTTGGGTAGATGAAAACAGTTCCAGTACAAGTATTAACCCCTTCCCGACAGGTGATGCCGATAGGCATCACCTGCTGTACGCCGCAGCGGCACTCCAAAGCGCGGCGAGCCAGTGATTCGGGCTGATGTACCGAACTCACGCACTCAAAGTCGGCGCGCCGCCATTGTTTGCCAGAGCGTAGAGTTTTTTTTTTTTTTTTTCTTCTTCACCCATCACCATTGGGTTAAGGGCGGGACGAGGTTGGGCAGATGTAACTGTGATGAGATGGGAACCATCTTGTTTTTGGAGACATTGCTGGAAGAGGAGTGTTGTCAGAAGAAGGGGCTGTGGGGATCACAAAAAATGAGTCCCATTTGGCTGAGTTAGACAGAGTATTTAAGATGTTTATAAAGGTGGAAGTAGTAGAGGGATGGGGGCATGTGGAAGAGGCAGTAGTATTTAGAGAGGTAGTATGGATAATAAGGTAATTGATGAAGAAGTAGAGGATGTTGAGAGAGGAGGAATGTCTCCTGGAGGTCGTGTATTGACCTGGGTGGATGATGTGATAGCAGGCATTGAGGAGGGGATAGTAGTAGCAGTGTTCAGAGTCATCATCAAAGGAGAACCTGGAGTCAGGGAACCAGGAGAATTTGAATCAGTGGGAATATTTGATGAAGGGACAAGCCTTACTGCTCCTAACAATGGTATCAAATCTTCATTCCAACACCACGTCAAAAATGTTATTCAACAGCCTAAATTGCCATGACTAGACATGCCCTTTGGGCACTACCTGAGGGAAGGGTTAACCTACACAACCCGGCAAATATTGTCTTCACCTCTGTATGCATGGCAAGAGAGTTGAATCTTGGGACTGTGCGCAGTTTTCTGCAAATTTTTCCCTTTATTTATGGCTTAACTGTTGATGTCTGCAGATTATTTCTTTTTCCAGATAACTACAACTTTTAGTCATCAACAAGAATATCATCTTCAATTTGCTCTACTTCAATTCATCCATACTTAAAGATTAACCAGATTTTCTATTACACATCAAGGAGGTGTATTGACTTATTTGGAGATGAACTGTACCATTATATTCCACAAGAAATAATATCAGTCAGCCACTGATTGATCATCAGATTAACCCCTTGCCGCCGGGTGACGGCGATACGCGTGTAAACAAATCGCTCGAAAGGTGGCGTGCGGCCAAACCAGCCGGCGGCAAGCCTAAGCGCGGCGAGCCAGTGATTCGGGCTGACGCCCCGTACTCCGGCGCTCAAAGTCGGCGCGCTGCCTTTGTTTGCCAGAGCGTAGAGTTTTTTTTTTTTTTTTTTTTCTTCACCCATCACCATTGGGTTAAGGGCGGGACGAGGTTGGGCAAATGTAACTGTGATGAGATGGGAACCATCTTGTTTTTGGAGACATTGCTGGAAGAGGAGTGTTGTCAGAAGAAGGGGCTGTGGGGATCACAAAAAATGAGTCCCATTTGGCTGAGTTAGACAGAGTATTTAAGATGTTTATAAAGGTGGAAGTAGTAGAGGGATGGGGGCATGTGGAAGAGGCAGTAGTATTTAGAGAGGTAGTATGGATAATAAGGTAATTGATGAAGAAGTAGAGGATGTTGAGAGAGGAGGAATGTCTCCTGGAGGTCGTGTATTGACCTGGGTGGATGATGTGATAGCAGGCATTGAGGAGGGGATAGTAGTAGCAGTGTTCAGAGTCATCATCAAAGGAGAACCTGGAGTCAGGGAACCAGGAGAATTTGAATCAGTGGGAATATTTGATGAAGGGACAAGCCTTACTGCTCCTAACAATGGTATCAAATCTTCATTCCAACACCACGTCAAAAATGTTATTCAACAGCCTAAATTGCCATGACTAGACATGCCCTTTGGGCACTACCTGAGGGAAGGGTTAACCTACACAACCCGGCAAATATTGTCTTCACCTCGGTATGCATGGCAAGAGAGTTGAATCTTGGACTGTGCGCAGTTTTCTGCAAATTTTTCCCTTTATTTATGGCTTAACTGTTGATGTCTGCAGATTATTTCTTTTTCCAGATAACTACAACTTTTAGTCATCAACAAGAATATCATCTTCAATTTGCTCTACTTCAATTCATCCATACTTAAAGATTAACCAGATTTTCTATTACACATCAAGGAGGTGTATTGACTTATTTGGAGATGAACTGTACCATTATATTCCACAAGAAATAATATCAGTCAGCCACTGATTGATCATCAGATTAACCCCTTGCCGCCGGGTGACGGCGATACGCGTGTAAACAAATCGCTCGAAAGGTGGCGTGCGGCCAAACCAGCCGGCGGCAAGCCTAAGCGCGGCGAGCCAGTGATTCGGGCTGACGCCCCGTACTCCGGCGCTCAAAGTCGGCGCGCTGCCTTTGTTTGCCAGAGCGTAGAGTTTTATTTTCCTTTTGTACACCCGGCGTCATTGGGTTAAATAACCAACTCATAAAAAGATTAAGGTATATGTTACCGGGAGCAATGCAAAACCAGGGTATTATGCAAACCCAAAAATCCAAACGTAACCTTTCCTAACTCCTTCTTTATTCCCTAGACAGGGGAGGGGGTTAAACCCCCTGTCTAGGGAATAAATAGAAAGAAGCCACCTTTTATTAGCACTTCATGCTAACTGCCACAACAATTTTGTTATACAAATATATGTGACACATACTTTCAGTGTAGAGGGTACAGATAAGCTGCGGCAAGGAGGAATTATGGAAAATGGACTTATAGAAAATGCAACATTAAGAATTCTGGCTATACGAGACTGTTGTGGACTTAATATCTGAATCATGATATGCATTTTTGTCATTTCGCAGTAAATATGAAGCCGCAGCAGCTGTACCTGTGTTGCTTGTAACTATTCCCGATGCTCTATAGGATGGCAGTACCTACTTCACTCTATCTCTATGCATCGCTCTCCGTAACATTTAACCAAGATGAAAGATAAAATGTTCTGAAATCATTAGTTAATGTCTGGTATTTCATGTGCTTGCTGTATAATACCTTTCAGTGAGAGTACATAATGATGATATTTGCTTAATGTGCACTCATACCATAATAAAACTGGTTTATGGCCTCCTTATCACTTTTATCTCACAATCTTTAGGGGAAGATGAAATCATACTTTCCATTACATGTTAAAAGAAAATATAAGCCAATGGGCATTCAATCAGTGACAAATAATAATAATCCACATGTACAATAGAAATGAGAAATTCTTCGCAAAAGTTTCACGTAAATAAAATATTATCGGTAACCTCAGCGATCTCTCGACTGTCACCTTACTGTCAGTTCACACTTTTGGGCTTGGACTGCACTGCCAGATGGAATTAACCCGGAGAGATGGCCCACGTGCAGGAAATCACCTCATAATTCGTCTTCAAATCTAACTCGGGTTCACGAACTTTAACAAATCTGCCACGACTTCCAGCAGGCGAAGGCAATCTTTCCTCTCCTTGCCGCTCCAGATTAATAATTCTACGTCGGTAATAAATCCTCTCTACTTGGAGATTCGTTATCGATAACAATCTCTACCTGACATCTTGAGAAAAGACAAACTCTCACAAGAAATGGCGAAAACTTACCCATTCCTGACTCTGTGGTTTGACAGCTGGCAAAGAAAACACGGTCTTACGTGGATGTGCTTATAGAAACAAG